TTTCTGGACATCATGTTGATCAGCTGAGGCAGGCGACGTACTTGCCTTCTGGTTCAAGTCCACGTAGTTCTCTATCGGCTCGAGGGAGTTCCGAAACCTGCTGGCAAGGGCAGCGGGGATTTACTGCTTGCACAAGCGATCTGTCCTGTGCGTTTCCGTTTGACAGCTTCACGTGAAGGGTGGGTACGAGGCTGCCATCTGGTAGAGTAGAAAACCCAAGTGTTGAAGAGCTTCCCCTGCTGGCATCGAGTGGGTCATCATCTCACACAGACTACTGGCTAGCCAGAACGTGCGGAGACATAAAGGCAAAAAGTCCTCGAGTAAGGCTCGCGCGGCAAAGCACCGACGAACGAAGTCGTGGAGCGCGAGAAATCACCTGCGATGCGAGGGGAGCGTGGCAGCGGTTGGTCTCGATGCTAGCGATCCTCCTGGAGATCAACACAAAGAGCGAGAGAACTTTTTCATGCGTGATAAGCCCGCTGCAAGCGTGGTACATCACTCCGAAAGAAACCAATGAGGTTCAGGAAGATGGCTCGAACTTCACGATTGCACACACGCAATGCGTTGGAGGCAGAGAATCCCAGATGTAGGAGCAGGAGCGCGGAGGAACGAGCTGCTCCAAGCAAGTTGCGCAAATCGGCGCGTGTCTGTCCGGGACGCAGAAGGATCTCGGAGCGCCAGCCCGGAATCAGGGTTTGCTCCTGCAGCCATAATAGAATCAATCGTCCTCGCGGGACTCTTGCTACCTGAGCGAAGCGTCGACGGAGGCGCTCGGGGCCGGAGGTCATTCGTTTCGGTCGGACGGGGGGCATTTTTTTTGGCCGTGGGGCCAAGGACAGTTTTTTTTTCATTGCTTGCTAGAAGCTTCTGTGCTCGAAGCAGGTCTCGAGGCCGACACTTGTCGGTGTTCTTTTACAGTTGCTAGAAGCGTTCGGCTTGGTCTGGCTAGTGAGCCGAGACCCTGCGCTGGCGGCGAATAAGCTTGCGTCTGATTCCTGGTTAATCGAAGCAACTGGGCCGCCCGGCCGCTGGCGCGTGCAATTCTTGTTCTGTCGTTGTCAAGAAGCAATAGACCTTGGTTTACATAGGGTCAGATTTGAGATGGTTCTGCAACACAACGGTCGAGACGTAAAACTGCATGCAGTCCATTTTTTTTTGGGACCGTGGCCACTGACAGGACTAGTAGACTCCCACTTCGCGAATGACCATGCAGATAAATGCCCTCAACTGCTTTGCCGTCATTACGCTGGCCGAAGTATTGTGATCCGCCACGTTAGGATGCACGGCCATGAGCTGCATTCGCAGCCACGTTCTAAACTTCGGTTTGCTCATTTCCTTGCTGGTGTCGAAGGCGTGCAGGATGAAGGATCTGCTTCTTTGGCTTCCTGAGTTGTAGTGGGGTAGCCAGGAATCAGGCAAATCCTTTGGTGGCACGCTCAGGATTGTTTGCACGCTCGTCGAAGACGCCTTGCTCCAGGGTTCTGCCGATGCTGTCCCGGTCGATGTTTTTGCGGCTGACGCTGCAGCCGTTTCCGTCTCCTTCGATGTTGAGGGGAGATCTAGACCCGGCGGCCTGGGAACCCGGCGTGGTTCCATGTTCCCAACCTGCAAGCGAGGGCTGCGATGGATGTTCTCAATCCAAAATGGAATCATGGCTAGGAGGCAAGGAGTCTGTCTCTAGTCTCTAATCTCAGCTTGGCCTGGCCAGAGAGCCGAGACCTTGCGAGTCGCGGATGGCATTCCCCGCTTTTTTTTGGGCAGGCAACCCAACATGCATCGGACGGACATGCAGCGGCAGGAGACGTTTTGGCGGTCGCCACGGACACTCGATTCTTGGAAACACTTACAGCGGCATCGGAAAATGCTCAGGTGTCGTCGGCCTCGGGCCGCGGCGATCCGCTATCCGGTCTTTGGCATTAACATTTGTCAAACAAGGGATCGATACGCCAGACGGGCATTTTCACTGCAGTTTCGATTGCCACAGCGCGTAGTCGCAGAGCATCTGGCTGCTCCAATAGACCGTTGACCACGAGGCGTCTCCAATGTCCGTGGTTGTGGACGATGCGTTTAATCCCATGAGGCAATCCCGGAACGAGACAGAGCATAGGCAACAAAGAGCGCCGGGTCCTGAAAAAGTCTAGTTTCTTCAGAGACACGCTTTGGAGGTATTTCTCCCAGGAGAACGAGGCGAGCCGCCAGCTGTCCTGGAGGGTCGAAATAGCATGCTGCAAGATTGATCTGCAGGTAGCGCAGAGGAGCTGCGATTGGATCGTACCAGCTTGTAGGAAGCGCACCTTGATCTCTTCGGTCTGGTGGTCCGCGAGCACCGAAAGCTGAGGCAGGAAGCTCTTCCAGGCTCGCAGGTTGCCCAAGACCTCTTCGTCCGTCAGGCGCGGCCAGACGTACAGGAACGTGCCTTCTTCGTCTTGGTATTCATAAACACATTCTTGACTTTCCCGGGGGGCGTAGAGACATAGTTTCGCCCACACCAAGCATGCATCTCCAAAAATGCGTTCGAGCAAAATTGCGGGCAAATCCAGGAGGTTCGTCTTAGGTTTTTTGTCGCAAACCAGGCCTTTCGTGGATGCTGTCGATCTAGAAAGGGAATCCTGCCCGGAAGGCAAGGCGTTCGCGTCCAACATCAGCTTGGTCCGGCCAGACAGATGAGACTTTCGGGATTTTTGCAATTGGCTCACTTGCTGGGGGGGGGGAGGAAATCTAGCATCCCGGGTTAATGACGGTGTTCTTAGCTTGGAGCCTTCCAGTTATTCTATTTCTATTTACGTGCCTGAGGCTAGTACGCAAGAATCGTTTGTCTTCCGTGCCACTTGCTCGGAGCGTTCGGCTTGGTCTGGCTAGCGAGCCGAGACCCTGCAAATGCAACCATAGAGCAACGATCTGGAATGTTATCATCGAAGTGACCGGGGTCACCGACCGTTGCCACCTGGATCTTTGTGCCGTCCCCTGCGTGCGCCGGGGACACAGGTTTCTGGAAATCGTGTTGATCGGTTGAGGCAGGCGATGTGCTTGCCTTCTGGTCGAAGTCCACGTATTCCTCTATCGCCTCGAGGGAGTCCCGAAACCTGTTGGCAAGTGTAGTAGGGATTTTTGGCTTGCACGTGTGAGCAGTGCTGTGTTGTATTGGTTTCAAAGGATGATAACCAGCAGTTGCATCGGCAGAAGCACCGACAGGATCGCACGGGTAGCCAGAACGGCACCGGCCTTCCCGGCGGCATCCGTGCCGGCCTTTTTGCTGGTCTTCTCGACGGGGATGTATTGCCTGAAGAATATACTATACCCTGAAAAGGTCCTATCGTGTTCTTGGCATTCCGAAGAAGGAGCTGCAGCGGCACACACATTTTTTTCGACAGGCCAAGCTTCGATGTTCTTCGCGGCTCAGCTCGCGAGTCTCGGCCGCAGTCCTGCTCGAAAAACTTTGCACCTCGGCGCAGTTTCCTGCAACAAGACGAGATCGAACTCCGGGGATGTTTGTCAAGCATCGTACACAAAGGCGGTCAACGCCAGCTGCCCCAAGCAGCAGGTCGGTTGGGCCAGTCATCGGCAGCGGCACCACGCATTCTTTCTGCGGACGCTGCAAGAAGCATGAGCTCGGCCAGGCGACTGTAGGGATTTTGCGCGGATGTCGTCGGGGAAGGCCCAGGCGTGCAGCCGAGCACAAACAGAGAAGTGTCGCCGGGCCGGGAGATGGTGCAGTCTCCTTGGATGCGGGCTCGCACACGGGGGCCTTCCTCGGTGAAGACGAGGTTGAGGCAGAAGTTGCCGTTCACGCCAGGGAACTCCTGCAATTGACGTTTAGCGATTTGTTTTATGCGCAGGCATCGTTCGAAGGCTTTCGCGGCGGCGCCACCGAGCGTGCTGTCGTCCATTCCATCAGTTGCTGTCTTCATGGCATCTATGAGCGAGCGCAGCTCGCACGTGACCGTTCGAGGGGGCAGCGTAACATACACGTCATTCAGCTCCACGATGCCTGCCATCGTGCCGTTGTAGGACTCGTCTTCTTCCGGAACACACACTCGGACTCGTAGGTGCCGGCGTACGCGAAGCACGGTGACCAGGGCGCCGTCGTGAGCGGGGAGAGCAACAGAGCGAGGATCGACTTTTTCGTTTCCAATGACGTACTGCAGTTCATCAACGCCGTCCGGGTCGAGTACTTCGTCCAGGTGCGTCTTCCAGTTGTCGTGCAATGCGATCTTGCGGGGGATGCACTTGCCGGACAGGTCGACCACGTCGAAGCAGATCTCGTTCGGTCTCTTGCCGCGCGGGGATCCGGGATCTTGCATCTTGGTCGAAGGACACAACGTGCAACTCCGAGGCTAGACTGCGTGTTGGTTCTATTCGCAAAGAAACTAGCAGCGAAGCATCTTCTTTTTTTATGCTGCATGCTTGGATTTTCGGCTTTGTCTGGCTAGCGAGCCGAGACGCTGCGGTGGCAACCTTCGAGCTCGGACTTTGTTTTTTTTTGGGGGGGATTCAAGCAACTGGGTCTCCCGGCGGGCAGCATGCGTATGTTCTGCTCATGTACTCCGATAAGAGCCGGGGAGGTAGAAATCGAGAAACCTGAAGCGTCCTCTCGGTCGGTTCTTGCTCCTGTCAATAGAGACGAGCGCTGACGAACTGTTGCAATCGTGGTCTCTCGCGCACCGATGCTCTCTCGTCCTTTTTTTTGCATCTCGGAAGCAAACGTGTTCCGGTCGAGCACGACGAGGCCGCCTACAGTGGCGAAGTGGTAGGTTCCTTTTCTTCAATGTGGCTGTTTTCGAGAACTTTGTTTCTGCATGGTTTATTCTACTGTACATGTTTGCCAAGAAAGATCGGCGATCAGCGACTTTGTGGCACTAGAAGTCACGTGACGAAGCTGGGAATCTGGGGTCTCGCTTCTAGTGTCTCCGGACGCAGCGGGCATGATTTTTGCTTTCGGAATCTGTCGACGGTCGGCAGGTTTGCAAAAACGTTTGGGACCCGGCTGCAAAGCTTTGTCCTCACTCCTGGTTCGGATGCAGCAGCGACTGAAACGCTTGCTCGGACCCCTGAAGGCAGAGATCGATGATGGCATCGGATGTCAACTGGGCAGCTTCGGTGTCCGGCGGCCACAATGCCATGCGATCTTCAAAGACCCCGAACCTTTTGCAGAACTCCAATTTGTGCAGAGCTTTGCATAGCATGCGAACTGCGTTCAGGTCGCGCATCCGAACGACCATGGTTCGGACTTGGGAGTTTTGTCGGTGCACTCCCATAGCATGATAGATGTGCATGATTGCTTCTTCACGAAGCACCACTCGCAGCGCTACTCGATCCGAGCGACACTCTCGCCAATAGTGCGAGGCGTGCTTGGTGACGATTTTGTTGGCTTTGTGGCTCGCCAGTCTCATTCCGAGCTTTTCTTCCTGGTTGGCATCCACGATGGCCGCTCCCAGGATATGCTGTTCGTGCCAGAGGGTTTCCTGGCAGGCGTCTTCCAGGCCGTCCACCCGCCAGAACGGGATCGAGACCAGGTGCGGCCATCTCTGCGCTTTCACATCGTTGTTGACTTGCCCGTTGTCAAGGGTCAGGTTCCAGTGCACTGCATCTAACAAGTAGCTCATCATCGTCCGGCACTGATCTCGCAGGGAAGGTTGCATGTCTGCCTCGTCGTCATCAGCCTCGGGCGGGAAGATCTCCTTCACGAAGCCTCTGATTTTGGCCCGCCCCGCTTCCCAGGCGTGCGTTTCCTCGTTGGTTCTGGTGTTCTTGTCCATCCGGTTCTTGCCCTTGCCCTTTCCCTTCGGGTTCTCTGCTTCCTTCAGGACTCTTGATCCGGTTCTCGAGATGCGGTCGAAGAGCTTCTGCATCTTTTCTTGATCGGGCAGATCCTTGAAGCAGGTTGCAGCCTCGGCGTTGTCTCGGTTTTTTAACCGAGAAGAACTGAAACTTCCTGACCAGCTCGTCGAAACGACTCTTCTGCATCGCGTCGCCGAGTTCCACGCCCCTTCGAAGCTCGTGCAAAGTCGCAGGTGCGTCGGTCTTCTTCCAGTGCTGGGACGTCGGCTTCCACTCTTGGGGGTCTTCGCAGTCTCCCAGGGCGTCCGAGGCACACTCAAATCGGGCTAGTTCACCTCGGAACCGGAAAGTAGGCCACACGTGTTCCAGTATCTTCCAGTTGGACCTTCCACTTCTGTCGAATGGGGTTTCACTGCCGGAATCATCGGCCTTGCGGTGGGAGATCGCCTTCCTGGTCGTCTCGGCAGCTTGTTTCATGATCCAGTTATCTAGCACGACCACGAGTTCATAAGAGGCACGGGTCATGAGGACGGTGCGGACGCCCCTGGAGGAGAATGCGATGCCGAGAGGATGCTCGTCCCTTCTGGCTCTTTTTGTGAGCAATGCAACGACGGCCTTGAAGGTGAAGCCCTTCGAAGCCCGCGCCGTGTGATGTGCCGTTTGCCCGAGGACGACCTTGGTGCTGTCCGTGATGATGTTTTCGCCACCCACAGCCCAAGTGACTTCGCGTAATTTGTCTGAGTAGTCTCCCGAGCTTCCGGATTCCAGAACACGCAGTTTCTCCTCCAAGTTCTTTCTGGATGTGAACTGATCCAACTCTTTCTCCTTGGCCAGATCTGTGATCATCGTCACCAGCAGCGGCAGCACGAACTCTTTCTGCAGCCTGTAGCACGTCAATATCGCACACTCGTCGTGTTTCAACAACATGTCCAGCACGATCTTGGCCATGACGGCAAAGTAGCGGTAGGAGGGCATGATTCGATCCTGGCAGTGCGGTGCTTGCTGCCGCCACTGGGGCAAGATCCCCGGGTCGTCTTGTGAGTCCACGATCACCAGAGCGCAGGCCGTGTGATGAGGATCCTTATCAGCTCGCAACATCATACCTGTCTCGTGATCCTTGCCAGCGCAACACATTATGTGATAGCCGTCCAACGCCATGTTTCCCATTCTGTAGGTTACCGGCATGGAGCGCAGTTCCGCGGGATTCACGATTCTGCACGTGGTCTGGATCGTCATCTTCGGCACGTCCATGAGGTTGCCGTGCGCGCTGAAAAGCATGTTCCAGTAGTTTTCCTGGTGGTCGATGACGCCGTCGTCCGTCTGATGAAACGTTTGCTGCTTGTCCTGCAGGAAAACCGCAGCATCGACGAGGGTCGCCATGCTCAGAGCTTGGAAAAGATGATAGTCCTGGGCCTCGTCAAACACGGCCAGTATCTCTCTTCGCCT